CATGCCACATGACTGGCCTATTTTCCTTAATTTAACAAGCAAGAGCTCAGCATGTACCCAGCGTGATAAATAAAACCCCAATCTGGATGCCTCCTGAGGGCGGTGGTCACCTCCTGGTCTGCCCACTGCCCTTCTGGGTCCACCACCCCCACTGGACCTGCATGTCTCCTGCAGGTAGGAGCGAAGGCTGAGAGACTCCAAGAACCCCTCTCCTCCTTGTAGCCTCAAGGTCACCTCAGGCACTGGGGAAGCCCTGGAGCTGAACTCTCACTGGACACAGAGCCCCAGGCTGTCCTGTGGGGCCTGGCTGTGGGGGTCATCACGGTTTCAGGCCTCCCCCCCACATTCTCCGGCCTGGTAGCCCCAGGACTCAGCACTCACCACGTGTGGCTGCCGTGAGGACAAAGCAGGACAGAAGCCAAAGGAAGGCCATGGTGCTGCTGTCCGGGAAGGTGGTGCCTGCTTCTTTGGGACTCCTTTTATGTGCTCTAGAATCCCTCCCTCCCCATCAGGAGGCCCAAAATCCAACTCACTCTTATCCAAGGACGTTGGCTGATAAGTGGGGGCCAAGCCCCTCTGCTTGCCAGCCCCTGGGAAAGGTACACATGCCCTGTACCACACCACCTGCAGCCTGGGCGATGCCAAGGACTGTGCTGTTCCAGGACAGGAGCCCGGGCCCTGCACAACAGGCTCACATGGCTCTTGCTCACTCGCTGTGTCCCCGGTGAGTCAGGGGGCCTCCAAGTCCTGACTTAAAGGTAGCACAGCCAAGGGTTCCAAGGGGCCTGACTGGTGGTGGCTGGTGTCTCCACATTCTGTAGCTGTGGCCCAGGACCACGGAATGTGGGCTGCATGGGTCAGCAAAAAGTACTTCAATAAAAACTGACCTAAAAACAAAATCTTGTTCAGATGATCAGAATAACCCCAGGGATCACCTTGACTCTGCCCAACAAGCAGTCTGAGGGAGGGAAGGGGAGAGTGGCACAGAAAATTTGGGTTTACTGGAGGCAAAGCAACCAAGCTCCCTTCAGAGGAGTGGAGGGAACCGAGCTTTACAATATCGGTGGGCGCAGAGGGGCTGAGTGCTCCAGAGTCTACACCCTGAACGACTACAGGAGTCACTCTCATACTCTTCGTCTGATGGGCTGAGGTCTTTGTGAGTAAATGGAACTTTACCAATATGGGAACAAACTGGAGACAGAAACAGGCCAGGTAGGGCTTGTGCCTCTGGAGTATGTGGCAAGCCCGTTCACAGAAGTGGAGGGAACACTGCGGACTATTGACAGAAATGGGTTTTAACCCATTTGAACATAAAACTTGCTCTACAGGACGAGTTACCTTACCTGGAGCAGAAGAGGGCAGAGCCAGCGCCAGGCTGCCAGTGCCTGGTCCATGCTTGGCACGACTCTCTTCGGTCATCTTCACAATAGAAGGAATCAGGCTCTGTATGAAACACTAGTTTCTTATAAAAAGGAGCTTTGATGCCACACCATGAAGTGACACGGTCTTTGAAGTGCTTCGATGAATAAAAAAG